AGCCAGTAGAAAGGATCCTTAACTGAGAATGTAAGTTGTTATCCTTGTAGAATAAAGTTTCTTTTGAATTTCCAATATTTCATATTCCACTCACTGGACAAGGAGGGTTTTCATTCAACTAAAATCCAATTGTTTTAAACACTAAAAATGTCAGTGTCTTTTAGAGTTATCCTATGGTATTTCCTGGTTTTATTTTTCACACATCTATATTAACAGACATTAGAACTGGGTAATACAACAAAAACTTCTTTTGTCTGTGAAACGGAAATGGATAATGTTCTTTCAATAATCCATGGTTTCATTGGCAAATCCTAATTGTTCAAATAGGCTACATGTCAAAATTGACTCCAACAATTGATTCATTCAAGAAAAAAATATGTTACTACTAAATTATCAAATTTGAACAGCTAACTTAAATGACTGAATAATAGCTTATACAATCCAAACTGTACATATTATACACATAGCCTACGCTTGAATCACAAATAAATACTGTCTTCCATCCTCTATCATATCCAATAAAGCTTGTTTTATAACTAAATATTGTATTATGAACACTCTAAATTAGCCTGGTATAATCTGAACACCTGCTGTAATACTGTCAACTACGTAAGGTGATAATTAATTATTAAATATTTGATTGAGAGCCTACAATATCTGGATTTGTCTTATAATTATCCCTCATTACCACTCTATCTTTCCTAAACCAGACTAGTAACTCGAAAACACAGCCCACACACACAAAATATTATGTTCAATAACAGAACATCTAGTGGTAGAGTCTTTAAAGGTACATTGTTGTCTAAATATTGACTTTACAAGCTGACAGAGCTCAATTTCAGCTCTCTGTGTAGATGCCTCTATACTTTCTTTACCAAGAGATAAAGCTCATTATTAGTCCTATATCGGAATGTATACTTTACCAGCTGAAGGAGTATGATTTCAGCTATTTATATAGTCCTCTTCCTGAATACATACTTCACAAGCTGACAGAGCTCAATTTCAGTTTCAGATAAACAAATTCAGATAGGATTGAACACTTTTTTAATCCTCTGATCTGTTTGAGACTGTAGCAATGAGTGACAGTGGTGCCGTTCTGTCTGCCCAGTATGGGCATTTCTGTAGTTATTCTACTTAAAAGTAAGCTGGTATTCTTATGTCTGATTCAATGGGTTTTGGGGTATCTATTGATCTTTACTGGCAATTTGTGGGGAACTGATCAAAATACTCCTTTCAGTTTAATTTATGCTGTAGATGCAGTTTTAGTTTTTTAGTCTTCAGGGATTAACCAGGTAACAAAATGTTATTGCTGAAAAAATTTTATTAAAAAAAATTGATTCTGGAAATCTTGTGGAAAATTGCCTTGCAAGATCTTTTTTTTTTTAAACCTAATTCACAAGATCTATGAAGATCCATGAAAATCAGTTGAAAACCAGAAAAGCAATCTGCCCTCAATTCTCAGTTTATCTTTTGTTTGATGATACACCCAAACAATGGATTATATATCTCAAGCACTAATAACTCTCTCAATTATCACTTTCACCATGTTAATAAGCTCGCAACAATTAACTTTTTAATCTAGGTCAAACAACAGAAACATTCATGATACGAAATAAAGATGTTTAGTGCTGCTGAAGTGAATAATCGTTATTCAACTGAAATCTCATCATCTAAGCTACGTATTCTCGATACTATCTTTGAGTTAGTATGTCCTAAAAACAATGTTAGAAGCTAAGACCTTGGAACATCCTAGATTAAAGTTTCAAATTTTAGAATTTTCCACTGTTTATACAAACTACAACAGACAAATTGTGAAATTCAAACTATTCCCAAATCTCATTTATTTCAAATTTCCAACTCCTCTGACATTATAAATCTGATTATAAATTTAAATTTTTAAAAGAAATGAAACTTTAGAACTTCAGACACCAGACAGCCAAATAAAATCATAAACCTTCTTTAGATTTCAACATAATCTGGTGGATACAGTTACCCTATGGATTCTCTGTCTAGAGTTAAGAAAAACTAGATTCTGATATCATCCTTCTAGCAGGTGCTTGAAATATACCCCTTGACAAACTGTTAATGTCTATAAATTGCCTTATTCTATTCCATCTGCTTTACGAGCATCGTCTATGAGAAGCCTTGAACCAATAGTCAGGAAAGAACATGAAAATAATGTCTCAAAATCAACCACTTGTAGCTTTGATTTTTTTGTGTAGCTTCTTTGGTGTTCAGATTCTGTATTCTTGCACCAAGGTCCTGATTTTTTGATGGAATCAGCTAGTCTGAGTCAGCTAATGAAATACCATGAAATACCTAAGAAAAGTAAGGAGCCCCATATTTTAGAGGGCATAGGGGTCCAAACAGCAGATGGCAAATTGGGTGAGCTAGTGCTATTCAAATACCTGTTGGTACTGATATATGAATGACTACCAATTCTCCTGATAAGCGAAACAATATTGATTCCATTAACTAATTGACTGATGACTGCAGAGATGAAAACAGAATCTATTGTAATTAAAAATAGTAATTAAGCAGAGTAATTAGGATGGATTAATTAAGTTTGATTACATGCTACAAAACTCCATTAGCTCTCAATATCATCATTTATGTGGGAAGAACAAAGACAAACACATATCACCTCAATCAGCACCAGAAACAGTAGAGTATGAAGGGGGAGGGTCTGTCATAGGACTTATTTTGAAGCAAAAATGAAGCCCTCTAAATGCTCATCATCTCAGACGGCCTGATGTTCGCTGGTGTTCATCTATATTCACAATTATCCAGAATATGTTTAACCATTCTGTCACTACCCAACAGCAATGCAATATTCGGCCCCCCATTTCATAGAACCATAGTTCTAAAGAAGAGTAACTCTACTCACCTTGTAGGGGTTCTTGAAATCTTGGAGACGTCTCTGGCTGCAGTGACTGCAGTTTTTCAAGCAAGGTGACTTCGAGAATCATGATTCCGATCCTGCAGACCAGTGTAGTTCTGTAAGCAAGATTGTTTCAGTCGAATTTTGTGAGTAGCATCCGCAATGCTCGGTTCTTTGACCTTCATAAGGGCATTCCACTTCGAATGAATTTATTCGTGAAATAAGAGATCGAATGACATGCCTTGACTGCTTCTTGGTTTCTGACACAGTTGAAAGGAAAGTGTAATATCGTCTGATTTGACCTCATCTGAAATCAGTTGTTTATAACTGAAAGGTTTTCAGATGATTTGTAAACTTGAGAAATGATCAAGATTTGGCGGGAAAGTGCACGGTGACTGATTAAACCTTCTAAATAAAACGCATAGCGAAAATAAACGTAACGAAACTATTGTTTTATAGGACGGTGATAAACGTGCGATGAAAAGAAAAAACCCAAAAAATCGTTAACATTAGTAATAAATGTTAATAAAAAATCGAGATGATATTGGCCCTACCCATATCACCATTATTATAAGATATAGTCAGGTATTCGGTAATCTTCGGAAGTTTCCGTAAAGCTGAATCTGAAATGTTGCAGAACGCCAGCGTTTTATAGCCAGCTAGTTACCTTCCCTTTTTCAAATGAGATAAAAATCCAGGAGCGTATCCTGAAAATACCTGAGAAGGGAGGGGATGAAAGGTGTCTCCAAGGCTAGACCCAAAGGGCCGCAGTCTCATGAGCACGGGGGTCACAGCAGCCAACGGGTTTCAGGTGGTCTGGGATATATTTTGAGCTTAATTTTTACTTCAAATTAAAAACTTTCATGGCTCAATGACCCTCCTTTTAATACGCCACTGCCAACAAATGCTTGTTTTCTGCTGTTTCTTGTGATCTAAAAACATTGTCGAAACAGGCCTACCTAAGTAACAAGTATATAGTGGTTACTTCCCTTGGATAAGAATTCCAATACCATGCTTCAAACTAGCAAGGCACACGAAGGTGAAAACAGTGACGAGGTAACTCTCGGGATATTTGAGTAGTACTTCAAGAAAAATTTTTGCTCGAAATCTTGTCTTAACATATATTTCTATTTTCTTTTGTTCAATTGTCAGGTGCTAGTGCTGGACATGGGCTATAGCCCAACCAAAGGGAAAAAGTTTGCATCATTTGCCTCCATTACACTATAACCTGACCTTGGTATGGTATTAAGTATGTAATATGGATTGGCTAGGACGTTAAGAAACATTTTGCTCGAATCTTGGTTACACCACACGATTAGTGGTAGCCGGTTTTAATCTCGATTGGTATGTGAGAGTCTGTAACCAGACTTGGGGCAAGTCATACATCCGGAGTTGCAATGGTGTATGGGGTTTAGTTGCAGTAGCGGAATTGGACGGCTGTCTTACGCCTCTGGTGTATTATTTTTCATTTTTTCATTGTGCCAGTATGTCTTGAAATAAAACACTGCTGTTTCAAGGAAAGTTTATTAGTGAATTCAAATTTTACAATTTTATCATTGAAGCAAATACATTTCTCAGTTCTATATGATGAAATGAAGGTTGATCTAATCTTAAATAAACTGACAATTGTAATAACTTTTTAGTAAGAGTTTCAATTTAACATACTTGGTTTAAACAATATTTTATTCATTGATAATACATTTAAGGTTTTACATAATAGGCCTATAAATCAGGCTTCTGAAATTTGCAGAGCCATCACCTAATCTAAATACTCTGATAACAGTCAGTTTGTTTTCTGACATAATTTAAATCGTTCTATTCAGTCAGGCTATATTCTCCGTCATAAAAAAAAGATTGAAAGGAAATCAGGAAACAGTAAGGAATTTTAGGAGATTGGGGGTAATGCAATCAATCAATCAAGGTTCCTAACAGGGTAATAGAAAGAAAATTAGCTTGCCAGACAAGATAACGTATGCCCACTGCTAGCTGTCAGAAATCATGATACAGTCTTAAATAAGAATTAGATCTTCATAATGCAATTGTAGTTTGAATTTATTCTAATAACTATAACATCACACCAAAATTAAGATCAGATTCGAACTTGTCCAAGATCTCATCATTATACAAATGATACAAAAACAGCCATTACATCCGCCTCTGATGCACCTAAAATATACAAAATATTCCTGGATCCATTGTTCTTAACTTGATTACGAGAGCACTACCCATCGGAATCAGTTTTCGAAATCGTTATCGATTATCGATTCCATCCTCAACCAATCAACATACAAAATTTCATCACGTGAAATAAAATTATATTTGAACCTTGAGGTCACACGAGACAAAAGTCATGTGTAAAAGCATCATACACTATGTTACTTTTGAACAATCGTGTTCAGCTAATGAAAACTTGCACACATAACAATGTTTTTTTGTTTTTTTTTCAACGGACAAAACTCCGTCCCCTGTGCCTAGCTCTAGATTCGGACTAGTTATTGGCGTGGATTATTTGATTTTTCTAGACTTTGTAAAAGGACGTCGATATTTAAATGCTCCAGAATCAGATTGGCCTGTCTAGTAAGCAAGATGGATTTTTATAAATATTGTAAAGGGTAGTCGTATTATATAGGTGCTCAAGAATATGAAAACCATGACTCTCTAACGACATTTAAAATTACCATTTTATGTTTAATATGGCCATTTAGGTTCTCACGACAGCCATCTTGAACGTTCGTCAAATTAACCTTTTTATGCTAATGAAAAAAAAAAGGAACGAAAGTAACGATACCAGCCCAGTAATATTCTATTGTTTGATTGCTTCACCGACCTGTTTCAAATATTGTTTTATTTGCAGTACTACTGTAAAGGAAGGCCGGCTCTGCATAATCTTGATCAAAGTTACAAAAATTGCCCTCCGAATCGACAATCACTGTCCAGCCATAATTCGTGTTACAGTTATACAAATTATTCTGCGTTGTTGTGTAAAAACGACGATTGGCTTGTCTGAAATAAAATTGAAAAAAAAATTAAGCATTGTATAACTGCATCCTATTCTGCACCTTATTGACTAATAAAATTAAATGAAATAGAGTTTTTCCTTATTAATGTAAAGAAAAGAAATGGAGTTTTATATCATAATTTTCTGTGCCTTATTGGACTATTGAAAAAGGGCAAAAACTCATACTAAATATTTTTCGATTTTTCTGATTTTCAATAGGGTTTATCCTTTGGTGATAACAAACACCCATGCCAAGTTTCGTCACAATCCGTCAAGAATTGTGCCTTATAGAGTGATAACGAGCTAAAAATTGAACGCGTTTTCAAGAACAAGGACAATAACTCATACTAAATATTTTCCGATTTTTCTGTTTTTCAATAGGATTTATCTTTGGGTGATACTTAACACTCATAACAAGTTTCGTCAAAATCCGTCAAAAATTGTGCCTTCTAAAGTGTTTACGGGCTAAAAATTGAACGCGTTTTCAAGAACAAGGGCAATAACTCATACTAAATATTTTTTCGATTTTTTTGATTTTCAGTAGGGTTCATCCTTGGGTGATTACGAACACTCACACCAAGTTTTGTCAAAATCCGTCAAGAGTGTTTATGGGCCACTTTGGACGGACGGACGCGATATACGCGTTTAAAAATGGGTATAATAAGTCTATCTTTCTGTAATCTAAACGGTAAAAAAGCAGTGACTCAGCTACTATAAGAAACTTGAACTGAGTCCAAGAACCCTAACCCCACAAAAGAAAGGTCACAAAATTAAATAATATATAAATGAGTGAATTAGCATTGACGATAGACGGCGAATCTGTGTATCTTCCATTAACAGGCATTACATTGACTTAAAGAGGGGTCTTATAAGAGCATCAATGGTGTCGGTAGTGAGTTGGATTATCGTCAGCTAGGCGTCAGCAGTCGTGGGTTCGAATCCTCGAAGGTAAGAAAAATTCTGATGCCTGTGTCTGTGCTTCCGAGAGTTGGATCGGTGTGGCTTTCACCCCCTAGTATAACCCTAAACCTAAGTTGAGCAACTGCACAAAAGTTAAGTAACAAACCCCATCATAGAGAAGAAAGCAGTGTTCGCCGAGGCAAGGTCGGTCCAGTTGGAACTTAGAAGACGACTTGGATGGAACCAATTGTCCTTTGTAGAATCTACACCATTAAAAACCATCTCTACAACTTTGTTTATGCTCTTGTAAAAGGTCAATTTCACCTAAAGAATAATGAGTAATGTACCAGCTTCATGAAAACAACAATTATCACAAAGTCCTTTCTCTCACATGTTCTTAATGCAACGGTAAATGGCATTAAAGATTGATGGTTTTTATTTGCATCATTACCGTTTTCCGCCAGATTTCTGTGGTTCCTGTAATTAAAGGGATGCTTAGCCTTATACTTTATATGACGTCACTATAGCACAATATGCTTATATAATTAGAGTTTCACCCGATGATGTTTTGACTGAAAATGCGACCACTGATTCACATATGTACAAGTTTAGAAAAACCCTTTACATTTCCTTTAATACTTTTTAATCATCGACATTAAGTCCACCTAGAAAAGCTATTGTAAATTGTACTCACTTTGTTAATAGAAGAGAAAGACCACACGAACATTCTTTTGGTTTTGAAATGGTTGCCACAAGGAAGATGATACTTTATGATAGAAAAACAGTGTGGGTTGGCGGTTCTAGGATCGTCTCCATCCGTGGAATCCCACACGTCTAAAATTTTCTTACCGTTTCCACTTTCCCCGCGAAATACCAACTCCCAATCTCCGTCTTTAACTGAAACAAAAACTGTAAATTATGTTTTGTTTTGAATGGTGTCTCAGACAGGCAAACATTGGTTATCTTTGCTAGATGGATTATGTCTTGCGTTACGGAAGTATGTAAATGCAACGATTTGAGTGGATTGTACGCTACCGAATATAGCCAATCAGATCAATTTGGCTGCGGGTGTAATTGAAGGTTATTATAAGAAATAATATAGCCTACAAGAAACAGTTGGCTATTGGAGTCCTGACATTATATGAAAATGGGTGGAGTATTACTACTATTATTATTAGTGTCTTACCTGTACTCTGTATCTCAGTGTAATAATCAAAATCTTCAATCTCCGTCAAATAAGTCCCAAAGTCATGGAGACGTTTGTCATAAAGAAGACACGCTTTATTTTGCTGTTTATAACTAAAACTACGGCATTCTGTTAATTGAGAACAACGTAACCCGCAAACTAAACGATCTATTCCCGTATAAACGTTTAAAAACATGACACCCCTCACATCATTTCCCGCAATTTTAGTATACAGATTATTTCTCATTTCCATGGAAACTCCGCTATAAAATATCCATTGGTATAAAATCCTTAGAAAAATATTTCGATACATTATACAAAATTTTTAACTTTGGAAATTTAGCAAAATAAACCGGTGAAAGTTGATTTTATTATTATAAGTTTAGTCTTTGTCTGTAGGCTATATCTAAAAGTCTATATCTTGTTAAATAACGAGATAATGCAGTCAGCCCAAATTAGTTGACTTAATAAAATTTCACTTCGCTCCAATTGAAAATACATAAGCATAAGCATAATATGATTCATACGATTTAGTAAACTTTAGCAAACACACTATCTATCCATTCATTTTAATGATCTGTTAATGGTCCGTTCTTTAGCGTCACCTGTTTTCAATATTAGTGATTTAAGCCGTTTAAAGATCTGTAAGACCTATAACAAAATATGCAAGCTTAGTGTTGGGAATCTTTTATATATAGGAAGATCTATCATAGGCTGACCAATCACTAGTAATCATGTCCCGCACCAAAAACACTGCAGACACAGGAATCGGCCTACTGATAAAAACGCGCCAATCTGACGTCTGCTGGAAACTAAGAAATAATTGTCCTAAAAACGTTTTCCGGCTCACGGAATTCTCTGAGTAATCTATGTTTTGATTAATTCAGATTTTGTTACGCTACAATGAGGCAATTTCCACAATGATTGTTACAAAACTGAATGCATGTCAACTTCCCAGGCCAAGATATTGATCTATCATCCGAATGTCATTGCAATTGAAATTTCTATCTTTTAGAGTTCTGGGACCGCGATTTTTAGGCAGTCATTGTTCCTAAATATGAGCATCTAATATGATGCAAAATGGCGACAGCTCGATTTTTTGTTTCTACGGACGTAAGGTGCAGGAATCATTTCTCTCCCCTACTCTCAAATGAGGGGATTTATTGCCTCTCTCTTGCATGACGATTCTGTGGTCCCTTATAAAGCTACCCTAGCCATTTCCAATGATTCCCAGAAATGACACTGCTAAATCCAGTGATCGATCATATTGATCTGCTATATGCCACTGAAGTAACTGAAGAGAGGCTGTGAAGACCTTTGGTTTGTGATATTGATGGAGTAGAAAGGTTGTTATGATATATAATAGTGATATTGACCGGGCCGATTTTAATATCCTGTTACCTAACAAGATTCTCGTTATCCAATCAAAACCTGATTTCCAAATTACTACTGACATACAAACTAGGACTATTCATCATAAAGAACACAATTCTGATATAGGTTACCTGGAATTCAATTCCAAAGCGGACATTAACTTGACATCTACCAACCAACAAAACCAACCAACCAACCAAAGTTAATTCTTGTGGAGTATTATTAGTCCTACTATTCGTTATTTTACTGGCTTAATGAAATTAATTTTTAAATCCAATTGTTCTGTGTAGGATTAAGGTTAAGTTTTACGCCATCATATGAAATGAAAATTTATGTCCCATTGTTCTTATCTTACTGGGTTTTACATCCACTCTTCTTTTAAATTCTTGTGTTGATTAAATGAAATCGATATATACGGCCTATTGCTCTGTAAATTATTGCGGCAATGAAATGAAATGGAGTTTTAAGACCTACTGTTCTGTAAGTTATTGCGTCAATGAAATGAAATAGAGTTTTACAGCGTAGTTCTCTGTAAGTTATTGCGTTAATGAAATGAAATGGACTTCTACATCCTACTATTCTGCAAGTTGTTGCGTTCATGAAATGAAATAGATATATACGGTCTATTGCTCTGTAAGTTATTGCGGCAATGAAATGAAATGGAGTTTTAAGGCCTACTGTTCTGTAAGTTGATTGCGTTAATGAAATGAAATAAATTTTTATAGCCCAGTTCTGTAAGTTATTGCGTCAATGAAATGAAATGGAGTTCCACATCCTACTATTCTGTAAGTTATTGCATTAATGAATACAAGTGAATATTGTTCTTGACTGGCTTAATGAATTAGATGGGACATATATTCAACATTAAAACCAAAAGTATTTAGAAATTTTCTTTGTCCATTTCACAGTGAACACATTTTCACTGCAACTAAGGTACCATTTGGCAATCTTCGGTAGTTTTCGAAAAGTTGAATCAGTGCAGAACGCTAGCAGAACTTTCACCGTAGGTCTTTTCGTAAGGTACGGCACCCAATGGGCGGTGCCCAATTCCGATACCTACTGGGTTAAGGAGATACTGGTCAGCTGATCCAAAAAAAAAAATATCTAAATGACTCAATCCCTTAAGTTCTGAACATGTCATCGAAAAATATCTGATCACATATACTTAATTTTAAGTACATTAAAAAATCGCTTGAAAATTCTGTTAACGCCATATTTATTTGTTGCTATCAACGTTTGAGTGTATTCAGATTACTTGATGAAACAGTCCAACTGTGACTTTGGCTGAGATTTGATTGTATTTATTAATGAACTGATTTCAGATAGAGAAAATATTGAAAACCATTTCACTCGTCACTGAACTCCTGATACAACTACAGTTTATTATCCCCCACAGGATTCTAAATATTATATTACCAATTGTTAACAAAACAACCAACTGTGTTGAGATTGGATTATCATTATAAATGATTAAAACATTTAATGTGTGTAAAAACTGGAGCAAAATACTTATATTTAGTAAATGTAAGGGCGAGGGGTTTGGGAGTCAGTTGATGTGTGATTGGGAAAGAAAACAAACTAAGGGTGGGGCCTCGATTACAGTTATTGTAGTTATGTTGGGCCTAATCTCTGCCTCTGCTCGGTGGCCAAAAAAAAAATTGATTTGATTGAATTCTACGCTCTAGCAAAATATACAGCCAATTAGAGGCCCCGACGAGAAGTCTCTAAACACTAAGCCACAGTGTTTCAGTCTTTCTGTCGAGGGATCTTTGGGATCACTGCATTCCGTGAAATAAGAAAGGCGGTTATTCGAATCAAGGTATAAACTGAAGGTTGGGATAGCTTGACATGATATAAGAAAACAAGTCCGCTTCTCAGAATTAACAATTATTATTTTGTAATATCAATAATTAAAATATCATATTTAATTCTGCTTCAATGGAACTTTGATTTCTGACGAATTTAATTATATTCCAGATAAACTAAAATATATATATTCAATTTTCACATCATTGAAGAAAATCCATTATAAAGAGGGGAAAAACATTGGAGTCTTCCGCCTATCTCTTTCTCCCACTGATTTGAGTAATGAAATGTAATGGTGTTTACGTCTTATTCTTCCTCTTTTGATTGGCTAATAAAGTGAAATGAAGTTTACGTCTTATTCTTCCTCTTTTGATTGGCTAATGGAATGTAAAGGCGTTTACGTCTTATTCTTCATGTTTTGATTGGCTAATGAAATGTATTGAAGTTTAAGCTCTATTCTTCATCTCCTGAGTATTGAGTATGAAATGAAATAGAGTTTACGTCCTATTCTGCATCTGTTGATTGGCTAATGAAAGGTCTTATTCTTCATACGATATTTTTCAGCTAAATAGTTGGCTATATTTCTCTAGGATTCGAACAAACATCTAAATCGCCTAGCAGACGACAATTTAACTCAGGTGCGGGCACACGAAAAGTCTTGGTGACAAAAATGTTTGATATGATAAATAGTAGTACATGTATATCGATAATAGTGTTCTTATTTATTTAATGATAAATCCTGTCCACAACGAGATAATCTTATCGTGGAAGCGAGGACACAATTGACATTTTACTCAAGATTCGAGTCCGACAGATCTATTCCTTTCCAGAGTTTTGAACAAAAAAATTATTCTATGCGATTAATTGGCTTAAAATATCCATAAAGATTAAAAGTCAAAGCTCTCTTCCACTTTCAGTTTTAATATAATGAGGCAAATTTTCGCCATTAGGCTACGCGCCTAAAAATATATAATTGTAAAATTTTGATTGTATGCCTGATGATGATGTGAGAACTTCATTTAAACGTTGAAATAAATAATTATCTAGAAGTTGTCTCTGCCTATATAATAAACAAGACAGGACTCACTCCACTAATTCATTTGCCATTTCTAAAAATAGCCTGGACTACATAATCATTTGCATAGAATGTTTTAGTGGAGTGAGTCTATCTGATTATTGTCTGATTTGTTTCTTAAATTGATCAATTACCTCCCTTGTGTAAGAAAGTTTTCTTTTATAAAAGAAATTTTCATTGGATTAAAAATTGATTAAAATTTCAATCAGCCAATCAACGTCTTCTATATATTTTTTGTAATCACGTGATCGTTTGTTGACATCATGGCCGAAAATAAAGAAATTCTGCAGCTTAGCTTCTGAAAGATTAGAATTTCTCCGATCTCTTTGTTTTTTAACTTAAAATTCTATCATCACTCAATACTCTATTGCCTGTAAGTTAGACTGGTTTTACTGTCATGGAAAAATTGTGGCCGGTTTGTACGAAATTCAACTTTTGAAATAAGTTTTGTAATAACTTTGACTTTGTGTGGTCATTGTCTTGGATTGCTGATTGGTACGTGTTATTGGTTAGGCCTAGATGAACTAAATGAATGAATGCCCCCAAAGTAGTGCAAAGTATTGAACTTATGAAGACAGACAAAACCATGCAGTGTTCGATGAGGGAAACTTTGCTTCAAAGACAATGCTTTGGTTTTAGTTGTTTTTTTTCTAGTCTGCACTGTCTGAGAGTGTCTTTAATGTAGACCTCATTTTATTGTCTGAACAAATAGATGCTTAATTCATATCAACTCTATGACCTACATAACTGATAAAGGAGACACTGAGTTGAAATTACCAAGATATTACCTCAACCTGAGTCAACTGGCTAAGCCACTGCATCCCACAAAAAATGAATATGAGATGGCCATACAAAATGGCTAGAGAAAATAGTTAGACAATTGTTACTAGCCCACTATCCTTAACACATAGAATTCTTAAATTCATCTAGACAAAATGATGTCCACTATCTATATCCATTTAAATCTTGTCCTTTTTTAAATTTCAGATAGTCACTATCAGTGATGTAACATAACAAAAAATGTATCAATGAAAGAAATTTGAGTGATAAGATGGAGAAATATGAAACCGAAGAAAAACTGGGTGTAGGAGCTTGTGGTGCTGTTTATTTAGTCAAACATGTTGATACTAAAAGGTACTTTATCTTATTTATTCATATTGTAGCATCATTTCTGTGTAATTGTATTTGCCACACACTATCTATAAAATGAAATAACGTTTTATGTCATACTGTGCTGACTGCTAGGTTAATTTTTGCTTAAAAATGTTTATTCAGTCTGATTTAAATGCAGTTTGTTTCATGTTGGGTAACTATACTTTCTCAATGGAATTATCCAGTCATCTGTATTATTGTTGATTTTACTGTATTTACCAGTCATGTCTGATTGAGTCTTTAAAGTGTCATATCCTTTCTTTTCTGTGTTTTTGTGTTTTCTTCCTACACAGATTTATTCCTTATGTGTTTACCAGTCATGTCTGCTTTAAGACATATTTTACACTACCAATCATGTCTGCTTTAAGACACACATTGTTTGACTGTGAAGGGAAAGAAGCTCAGGTCAAAATCTGTATTTTCAGACAGTATGCCCTGAAGAAAATAGAAATTGATGATAAAAAGAAGACAAGAACTAAAGAAAATGTTTTAAAGGAAGCAAGGTATAGTTAGTTATTGTCTTCATCCATTTCTATAACACATTCATTAAAGCTTATATGCTGTGTTATGTTTTTTTATAAACAAATTTTATAATGATTTGTTGTAAGTGTTTATGTTTTAATCATTACATTTTTGGCACAGTTGGCTTCTGTGAAATATTGGAATCTTTGGAATCTTGCTTTTGCTTTGCATTATTCTAATGGACCCAACTGTTATTCTTGCAAAAATTGGTTATTAACCTCTTTTCATTCTTTGATTTGTATAAGAGAAAATGCTTATTATTTTATAGAATCATATTTAATCTGTTTTGTTTCAGTATTTTAGAGAAATTAAAACATCCCCATATTGTTGGTTTTTATGAATCATTTCTTCAGAATGATGGCCAGTTTTTAGTTATATTACAAGTAAGTCAGTTCAAAGTGTTTTGAGCCAGGATTGTTTTTTGTATTTTCAATCCTGATCAAGTGATTTTTTGCTTTATTAATACGTCTGGATGTTCTGATCTTATAAAGACCCTATTTCCCAAACCAGTTTTAGGGTGTCAAGTAGATTCTTAAAATGAAATATAATAGAAGTGATACAGAGTTGACAAATTAAATACCATGTAGTTATGTTGTCTCTCTGAAAGTTATTCTGAGCACCATTGCCACCTAATTGCAGAGTGTCGTCAGGTGTTCTGGATATATGAACACCTATATATTGATGTTTTAAAATATGTAATTGCAGGATTATTGTGATGGTGGAACCATACAAGACAAAGTACATCAAGCTCAGAGGGTAGGAAAAATTTTATTAATTTCTATTCTGTTTTGTTTTTATTCCAAATTTATATGATATTTCTTGGCATGGTTGTCAGAAATATTCAGCTAATATAATTTTTTTTTGTATAAACAATATTTATTTACATAATAACATTAGGGAACAGGCTTTTGCTTAATAGTACCCTTGCCAACTATAATGAAAACACTACAGTTAGAGTTCTACCCACAGTATCAAGATTGTTTAAATATTGTTTCTGTTGAAATTGTGACAAAAATATGTGCTCTGAGTTAATTTGTCTGCTTATACAAAACCGTTTTTACATGTTTTTTTTTAGGAGAATTCTCCATTTGAAGAAAAACAGATTGTACAGGTCTGTGTAAACCTTTGTATTCAGCAGAATTACATCAGTTTCAGTGATTGGCTAAGACCTTAGCAAGTTGTCATTTTGATTCAATTCTTTTTAATTGTCCTCTAAACATAACCAAACTATTACTTAATTCTACCATGTTATCAGGTAAACCTACTATGTCGAGTATGTAACCATTTTTACATTCTAATAATCTAATTCATTCATTACAGTGGTTTATACAGATAGTAATGGCCGTCCAATACATACATTCTAATAAAATACTTCATCGAGATTTAAAGACAGAAAATGTATTTTTAACCAAGAAAAATGTGGTCAAAATAGGTAAATTAGATAAAACTTTATTCTACTTACTGTTGATTTCCAGTGAAATCCCTAAATTGCCATCTTTTTTATTATGGGCATTGTTATAATATTGACCACAAGGAAAATTGTAATCTCATTGGTTAAAATTAAATTAAATTTATTGATTAACCAATTAGATTAAGATAAGATTTTAAGTACAATTTTCAGGAATAATGTCCATTGATTGTCACCTTTGATGTCTCTTTAGGTGATTTTGGTATTTCCAAGTCTCTCGAAAACACAATCGATGTTGCTAAAACAGTTGTTGGAACTCCATCTTACCTCAGTCCTGAACTCTGTCAAGATATACCCTATAATTCTAAATCTGACATCTGGGTAAGTAATCATGGGTGTGAAGTAGAAAGGGGGGAGGGGGGATCAAGGAGCATATGCCCTGATTGGCCATGATTGGTGCTCACCTGAGGTTTTGTCTAGCGTTGTCTGCAATTTTCTATGTATAAGATTATAAGCAACTTTTAATGATTTCAGTCTCCAAGATGAAAGAATGATATTTTCATGCCTGGACCTGGTAAATGACAGTGTGACATGCACAGAATGGATGAACAGAGTTTCATATTGTGTGAACAAAAATCACCTTGGGCAAAGTATAAAAACTAGAAATAAAATGGTGGGAAACCATCAGATAGATTAACCTCTTGAAACCTATTGCTCTGATGTCATCTTAGTGTGTTTGCATTTCTTGAAAATCTTTAAGGTTCATGAGTGTTTTTTTAGAACCAATAAATTTTCAAAGACACAGTTAAAAGAATGGCATTTGACTCTTTTTCAGGCTCTGGGTTGTATTTTATATGAACTCTGTTCTCTCCGTCCACCTTTTGATGCCCAAAGTCTTTTAAGTTTATTCTTCAAAATTATCAAAGGAGAGTTTGAGGTAAGCCATTAAACAAAGTTTTCTATTGTGTATTCTTGCCATTTGATTATGTGTGCCTTTTTGTTAACATCTAGAGAGTCGCTTTAGAATTTTCTGATGTATGTCTAATTTGATCTATTATATAAATACTAAAAAAAATATTGAATGACGTAATTTATATGTCATTTTATTTGCAGTAAATACCTTTGATAAAGCCATATTCTTATGTATCTTTTGTAGCCGATTCCGTTCAGTTATTCAAGTGATCTCCACAATTTAGTTTGTAGTTTGTTAGAAAAGTCCCCTGAAGACAGACCAAGGTCAGTTAATCTAAAAGAAAAACTTTTTCAAGTCAAGCTTAGGCTTGAACCCACCATATGTTTTGTACCATGTAACCATGCAAATAACAAGCAGAATTTCAGGGACTGGATCCTTAAAAAATCTTAGTATACAAATTTGTCATAGATGTGAATTTAAATATTCAAAAACACCATACATATAAATAGAATGATTGATCATATGATATTTTGTGTAATGGAACCCAGTGCTCTGAGCTACCGATCTATGTATAAGACAAACTTTCATCATTATAAGGTTTATTATAATTATGATTTCACTTTATTTTTCAGTGCCAGTGCCATTCTGAATCTTCCAATAATCAAACAGCATTTAGCAGGATTTATTGAAGAGAAACAGAATCTTCTACAGCAAAGAGTACAAAGGGGAGATAACTCTTCCAGTAAATCGCCTGGGGTACAGAAAATCATTAAATCTAGGTAACATAATAACTTATGTTTAGCAAGATCTAATTGAAATTAGATAATAATTTTGTTTCTTTATTTTTTTAACTTCTTTATACTCCACGATCAAAGTGTGTCATGTAGGACCTGTTATTGAAAACAAATTGTGGGATAGCCAAACTCAGAGATTCTGTCATGATGCTCAACTGCTATCCCACAATTTGTTATTACTTAATGATATTGAAAATAGGCCTACATACCATGTTGTATACAGGGTTGTTTTGAGTCAGTGACAAGAGGAAACAGTGTTTATAGTTTATGGATGGATGTTGATGATGTGACAGATATAAATATTATTGAATCAAAAATATATTCAAAACACATAATGGCATGTGTGTTGGTTATGGTCCTGTCAGATTGATTAAGGGACATTACTCTCATTACCGATACAAATCCAAAGGTGTTTGCAGTGGACATTACACCATCATGAAAAGCCATTAAGTATTATCTTTCCCTGCCCATCTAAATGTAAAATAGTGAAATGAAATGATGTAACATATTTGTTATTCTAGTAATATGAGTCCAAGCCCACAATTAAAACGTAAACCTGTGTATTTATCACCCAATGAGAATGCTGCATTAAAATCAGACCGTAGTCCAGACAGACGCTCAGCCTGCTCTGATTATTCGGATGACTTTGATGAATCTTCAGATTCAGAAATAGAAGAAGGTGAGTAGATTATGACAACCAATCAGGTGCTTGTTTTACTTGAAGGTTGGCTAAACAGTGGGTAAATGAGTAACTATAGAATCACTGAGAGCTAAGAATACTGGTAATAGTAAAATGTGAATGATAAGATAAAAAAAAGATTAGAGGCCTCATTCACTAAAACTTAACTTTAAATTTCAAATGAGTATAGAAATGTAGGTCTGTTAACAAATTATATTACCTTCCTCTATCATAAAATCTTAATTTTAACTGAGTTAGGATTGTAAGAAGTGGTGTGCTCCAGTTTAATATATATATGACTGCTCTGATTCTCCAAGATGCTGCAGTTGCTGAAGTCTTTAGAAATCTTAATCAACCTGAAATCAGTTGTTCTACTTTCTATCAATTATCAAAAACTGGATCTATTGGAATGGTTATAATCTGCCACCAACCAGCTGCTTTCATGATCTGTCAAATTCATTGTTGATCTGAGGCCCACCTTTAGGTTTCTATCAAACTCTGTATCTATGTATATTCTAGATATCCAGCTTGTGGAAGATGTACCAGATCCAGACCAGGATGTAACAGTTGATTATCCTGATGACTTTGAAGAGTATGATTCCAGTGAGGTTTGTACTATGTATTTAATTTAAGGCTGTGAATGAATAACAGACTGCCATGTCTTTGATCATTAAAGGGACATTTTGATTGTTATTTATACTGCGAACAATTTTGCTCAAATTTATAACAAAATGTACATTAAAATCTAGAGAAAAATGTCCCCAAACTTATATCAAAATAAAAAAGTCATTATGAGGCCAAACACCAAAAAGAGATCAAACTGCTTAATTAACAATTAGTTCGCTCTGTTTTGAATCAACCCTTTTTATGACAAATTCAGGTGTATGCATAAGATTAAATTATAGAAATATTTTCAGGTGTTATTTTTTAACAATGTTTATGATAATAAATATTTTGCAAGCTGCTCCTTCAAATTGTTTAGAGGGTATGTTGTAGGAAGAGACAGAGATACAAAAATATCACATTTTTTCAGGATTTGGATGAAATTGTGAATCAAGCTCGAGAAGCACAAGAAGTTGAACCAGCGGACGATTATTTTGAGGAAAGTTTTAACGGGAAAAATCCACCTTTTTCACAAACTCAAGTAATAAAAAAGTAAGTTTGTTTGTTCAATTTTTTACTCCCCATGTTGTGTTGCTTCTGCTAGGGCTAGGTGTGAAAATTGCAAGGCACCATGGGATGTTTGATGGGCGTGCTTTAATGTGAAATCAAAGAATGGGCATGTCTTTCAAATTAAATTAATGAATTAATTTTTATTTTTCAGGCAATATCTGGAAGCAATAAAAAATGAAGATGGTTTAGAAGAAGTGAAAAAATTAATGATGGATGGAAAACTTCCTAAAACTGTTTTTGGGTAAATTTATTGTAATTTTAGAAGGATGCCCAGAAGGTTAAATTCTTCATACAGAATGCTAATTGGAAGAATTCTCACAATTTGCCTGACAGTTGTTCCGCAAAAAATGTTTCAATAGAAAAATAAATTCTTAAGCTTGTATGCCACTCTTGAGTAACGTCAAGTGTCTGGTTCTGACACCATTTCAAATTCGAGTCAAACACCTGTGTCTATTGCAATTCCACTATTGCAATAGCAATGTCATAATAACACAATACATCTAGAAGTTCAGAAATTGGTATCAGGTTATTCTAAATAGTTTCTTTGTCTTTTTACAGTAATGAGCTGAATATACATTGTGGTGGAGACAGGAATGAAGTTTGTTACCTCACCAGTGATGATCTTACAGATGTCTTATAGCTGCCATTCATTCCATTTCCATTTCCATGTCATTTTTAAGCTAACTGGCATTCATTCATTCCTTTTATTTTAAGCCAGGATTCGTCTTTTTATGGTCATGTACTGGATCACATCAACATAATCGGTCCTTCTAATACACATGTACTTGTGTATTATTAAACAAATTGTACATCGAAATATTGTGATTTTGTTTTTTCATTCATTATATTGTCCCCATGGGCTGAATGTTAGACAGGACCGTGTCCTTGTTTATTGGACTTTATTCTGACCCATGTAAAATAAACAGTTTATTATTACTATTATTATAAGCATTCGTTCATTCAAGGCATTCCTTCATTCATAACATATATAAATTCATTCATTTATTCTTTATGCAAGTTAAGGAAAGCTTGACTACCTAATCATTTCCTTTAGGTAATTACATGAAAAGGGGACCACAAACCATGGTTGTTGTAAGTGATAGGGATATTACAATGCATAACAAATTGATCTTTTATTTAATGTCTCTTAAAGAAAAAAAACCAACAACCATATTTAGCCCTGATATCAACTTAAGAACAATCTTTTCTACCGGCTGGTCCTTGACTAAACATCATGGCATTGATCTTTCCCAGATTATCCATACCCATTTCCAGCTGGAAGGACTGGAATAATGAGGAAAGATGACTAGACATTCACATTATGACTGAGATTAGAAACCACAACCACCATTTGTTCAACGCAACAACTGTGCTAAAGCCTTTCCTGAATCAGTAGCATCATCTGCTATGCCTATGCCACACGATCTATGCATTTACTGGTTTTATAACTTGAAACTGCTGTTTACACGTATATATATTTACTTTGATTTTGTTTATTTGGGTTTTAAAAAGTAATATGTTGTGATGTATAAAACTAACATAAGTTTTGTGTGAGATTTTTATTATTATTATGTTTGTTTTCTCTATGAGACCATATAGCTGATATTGAAAAATGTTAAGATTTGTTAAAATTGTATAAATACTTGTTAATTATAGATGATATCATATAGATTTTTTTAATAAAAAATATTATATTCATATTTTAATTTCCTTCTCAGATTATGAGTGACTAGACCCTTGCATTAATCTTAAACCAATGTATTTTCAGGTTTAACAGAGCTAATAAGATAGAAATACTGAGCTATCAAAAGATGCCTTATTGAACACTGAATTTCATTTCTATCTCCCAGGTTCCGAATACATGCCACTCTTGCCCACGTTCAGTCAGTACAACACACTATTTTATTCTTATTCCATATTGGTTGAACAAGATTATTCCTTTTAGCATTAATGGAAGATAATCGAATCATTCAATTCAGACTACAAGTAAATTATTTCTAGATTTAACTAATCGGAGGTAATAGATCTAAGTTAATGAAAATTCAGACAATAGTAAATGCATTAACTGAGTAGGTAGAAAGACTTGTTTTACCAGTAAACAAATTCTTGATTAGCCAGACTTCTGTCAACACTGATTCTATAAATAGACATATAGATAACCCAGGGATTCCCCGATAAAAAATCGTCTGCTATCAATCGATTTCCCTTCGTCATTATTTAAAGGAACGACACAGAACACAGAACATTTTGCCGAAAAGAAATTGAGATTCTTGGAGTCAAGGTTTTGCTTGAATCAGCCGACAAGATGAAAATGATTCACGTTTCTGCTTGCCATTCCCTTCATAATAGTCATTACCTGTTCTCCATATTTGGCAACTGGACAACACCAACTCATAACGAGGCTGAAGATCAAATTTCGGGGATTCCACCAAATTTAGCAATAAAAACTAAAAAATTATTTTCAAAAATTGTTCGATGGATGTTATTTGAATATTTTTTATTTATTTAACTAAAATTAAAGAGCAAATTTTGAATAATATTTTGAAAGAAAATGAAATTCTGATCGCGGCTACAATAAAACCAGTGACTCTGTCTTCCACCGGGGTTTACAGTCAGTCAGATTTGAGTTGGGATTACATTTTAAATCTTTTTCACACCTGTTTATTCGATTGAAATTGGAGTAAATTGTGGTCGTTTTGAGGCGACAAGATGCCGGTCTTTCATACAAAGACGATAGAAAGTATCCTAGAGCCTGTGGCTCAACAGGTAAGAGTTATTCTATGACCTATTTTCGTGGAACATGAAATGTACGCGCTATAACATTGGTGCCAATGATTTCATGCATCTCTATACCAGTCACCTTTTTGGCCTGCAGCAAGATGGCCGAAATACCATATCTTCGACCCGTAGTACCGTTTCAGATACCAGGAGCAATAAAGTGAATCTTTAACCGATTCTGACACAAAGTCCTACAATGTTGCATGTACTTGAATTATTGGACTATTGAATTCATTGGTATGGGTGGAAAAAACAAATATGAATTGAAAGCATAGATCGATCTTGAACTGTTTCTGATACAAAGTTATACATAGTTGCATGTTGTAATTTTTTGTGTCTGGTATTGGACTTCTATTGGATGGGACTATGTATGTTGAAAATTAAAGGTAGATTTTTAACTGATACAATTGCTGCAACTTGAACATGTAATGTTGGAAATACATAGTGATCATAAATATTTAGGGATGGGACATACCAAATTAAACAATCATGAACACATTCTGATACAAAATCATACAATGTAACAAAGTAGCTTTTAAGTTATGAGATTCATAAATGGGTTTGTTATTTTCAAAACACAGCTTGAAATATTCGAATTCGTTAAATGATTCTTACACAAAAAGATGCCATGGTGTAGTTTTAATTACCATAAAGAATTCTTTTTTTTTGCATTATTAAACTCAAATATCCTAAGTGTGAGGCAGTTTGCAAATTACATGTGATTTGTTAGAAATATTAAAACAGAACCTTAAAAAATCATGTTGTAACTCAAGAGTTTCATGCTATGCAATCTTTAGATGACTGACCTATTTCTGCTTACTGAAGTTTGACAAGTAAAACTTAATATTATGTCTATATTTTGAGACAAGTTCGGAACTTTTGTTAAAGAAGTGCAGCTAGCCCAAGGTCTTAGGAGGGTGGGGGTAAATTTTTAAAGGGGGGCTTAACTATAGCATCTCAACAAGTCATTCAAGTCATCTAAAATTTCCTATAGGGGACCTGGCTACACCTCTAGCTACGGGTCTGAATGTGGTTTGTTAGATAGCAATTAAGAATTTGGGAGTGAATCATAGACATAAAGTCTTCTGTTTATCTTGTAACCTTGAACTTATTTGAGTCAGTCAGATGGGTCATTCTTAATCATCATCTTGGAACTTTCTGTTATACTGACTTATAATCCTTTCTGATACACAGTGGCACAATGTTACAATTAACTGTTTATATAACACTGTTTGTCCCTGTTAGGGATACCAGGCAGAGAGCCTGTATGGAAAAAAGCTTTTTGTTATTTGTTACAATTTGTATATCTTAGATATATTTGTATTTTTGACACTGTAAGCATATTGCCTTAAAGTTACTGAATAATTTTCTTCTTCTCTTGGTTGTTTTAGCTTCTTCAATAAATTGAGGTCTATTGTATTAGTTGCCCTGGCAAAATGTCTTGCATCGCATACTTCATAGTATTGCAATCTTCAAACTTCATTCCCCGTGTGGTACAGGCTGTGCACGTTAAAGATCCCCCGACAGTTGGAAATCGAAAAAGAGCAGGATAATGCCGCTGTCCTGGCAAAATTTCCCTCATGGCACCCTGCATGCCGTTGCCCGTCTTCATAAGCCCACAAGGTGCAGAAGAGTAGGACGTAAAACTCCATTCATTTCATTTCATTTCGAACTTCATTACCATGAACAGCAGAAGAAAAAACTAGGTTGACAAATTCCATTTCATAGTAATAATCAATCAGTACAGCATGTTGTTTACTCGTTAAGAGATTAATTATCAAATCAACTAATTAATTAATGTCAACCTGAGGCAATAAATATGTATTGGATATGTTTTAAAGTGTTAATTTGCTGTATGAATATCATGACAGGGGTTGAGGTTTTTTGTGGGGAAAAAAACACTGAGTATGTCCAGGCCATAGGTCAAACCCTGAATAAATGAATCTTAGGAAGATTTGATGGATTTAATAGACATTAAAGATGGGTTCCCTTATTTTCACTGAAAGTGCTAATACTTATATCAATGGAGAGTAGAGGTGTCCGAATGACTTGGAAATATACCAGTTTGTCTCACATGTCCATAATTAATTCATACTTAGCTAAATTAGACGAGAATTACTAGCAGAATTTCAATGAGTTAGCGATCAAGAAAGGTTTATCCAGACTGTACAAATATGGACATTTATGATGTGTTAAAACTCTTAGTTATACAATAAGAATATAATGATATGATTAGGAATACATGATAATTCATTAGAAACATCAATTAATCGTATAGTTTGCTTAATTTGACACTGAAAAATAAGGAAACCCATCTTTAAATGAAAAAGGATTCTTTTTAAATTAGTCATTGTTACGTCTCAAACATGGTTGAAACTGTTCAGGATGCAAGTGAACATCCTGGGAGATGTGAACAGATTTTTGTACTGGCATTGACATTATTTCTGGTATGAAAAGGTTAAAATTGGTCTGCAGCCCTGACCAACTGAATAGAAAATCTATTGAAGCTTGACAAAGTTTAGTAGTTTATAAAATTGTTTCAAGAAGTTTATATCTAATTGTATAGTATATAAAAGAACAGTGGGAAGTCTTAATTTACTTGTCCATGTTAGTTTTTACATGTATTTTTCTTTTACATAGAAAATACAAATGAAAGCTTGAAAATTGTTAAAAAATAATAGTTTTAGGTTATATTGTTTAAAAGTCCAAGTTGTCTACTTGGATGCATTTCTATATGGACAGCATGGACTAATGAAGACAAACAACATCATGCAGTGTGCAATGAGGAAAATTTTGCCATGATAGCGCCATTAGACTACTCTTTTTCAATTTCATACTGTCAAGGGTCTCGCACAAACTGTAGCACACAGAGGCTGCTGTAAAAATTGCCCCATCCAATATTTTTTCCAATGTTGCCAGTCGTCAATAGACTAATCTGTATAATTATAAGCAGGGCGTAATATTCCATTTCTTCTGTACATAACAGAGTATGAATAATTCATCTGGTATGTGATGTAGGAAATGTAATCAGGAAATCTTGAAGGAAATCACAAATTCAAATATTACAAATAAATCCTGCACTGTACACCCTACACATTCCTAGATATTGTTGATTTTGATATCAGGATCTTCAACAGTCAACAAATACTTTGTAACTAGAGGTTCTATCAGGAAAAGCCGAGGAAACCACAAATGTGATTGAATTATAATATATTATAGGAACACAAGATGTAGGCCCAGAGCTATTACTCGTTAAATGATTTACCCAACATTTAACATGCTCTTATTCAATGCACCACTGCTAGCAAATGATTAATGATGAAAATTTAAATTGTTTAAGTAACAACATGTTTCAGATTCTGTTTTAATATTTCTTTATCACTTTAAAATTGATTTATTGAGCACTATTTTAGCAGTGGTATTTCTTTATCACTTTAAAATTGATTTATTGAGCACTATTTTAACAGTGGTATTTCTTTATCACTTTAAAATTGATTTATTGAGCACTATTTTAACAGTGGTATTTCTTTATCACTTTAAAATTGATTTATTGAGCACTATTTTAGCAGTGGTGTTTCTATATCGTTCTGCAATTGATGTATTGAGCACTATTTTAACAGTGGTATTCTATATCTCTCTACAATTGATGTATTGAGCACTATTTTAACAATGGTATTTCTATATCACTCTACAATTGATGTATTGAACACTATTTTAACAGTGATATTTCTATATAGTTCTATAATGCTCTATAATTGATTTATTGAGCACTATTTTAACAGTGATATTTCTATATAGTTCTATAATTGATGTATTGAGTACTATCTTAACAGTGGTATTTCTATATTGCTCTATAATTGATGTATTGAGCACTATTTTAACAGTGATATTTCTATATAGTTCTATAATTGATATATTGAGCACTATTTTAACAGTGGTATTTCTATATAACTCTACAATTGATGTATTGAGTACTATTTTAACAGTGATATTTCTATATCACTCTACAATTGATGTATTGAGCACTATTTTAACAATGGTATTTCTATATCACTCTACAATTGATGTATTGAGCAATATTTTAACAGTGGTATTTCTATATCACTCTACAATTGATGTATTGAGCAATATTTTAACAGTGATATTTCTATATCACTCTACAATTGATGTATTGAGCACTATTTTAACAATGGTATTTCTATATCACTCTACAATTGATGTATTGAGCAATATTTTAACAGTGGTATTTCTATATCACTCTACAATTGATGTATTGAGCAATATTTTAACAGTGGTATTTCTATATCGCTTTATAATGCTCTATAATTGATGCATTGAACACTATTTTAACTGTAAAGATATTTTGTTATTATACCAGTATGGTGAATTTTCTAGTATTAAGCTGAATGTCCATCCTATCTCAGCCAGGTGTTGGGCTAAGATTTATTTATTTATCTGGTTTATTTTGTAGTAGATGGTAAATATTAGGGTGGGGACTTTCCCAAATCTTGACCCTGTGACCTGTTGACATTTTCACGGTTACGAGTTGACCTTATATGGCCTTTAAAGCTGATAGCCTTGATTTTCCAGTTTGTGGTTTTGTAGTTCTCTTCGTGATGATTTATCTAATTATGGTTTTAAAATGTCAGTTATGTAAACTGCACCTAGAGTGGATGGGTAATGGGTAGGCATCAAAGAAGCCTTCTAACCTACAAAAAAGGAAAATCATTGTAAAGCTATTGGCAAGTCCCCTCTCTCCCATGTGTAATGAAAGAGTCAAGGGAAGGCCCAGGTATCCACTGGGATACTAGCTCAATTTTTTGTTTGTCCTGTTCTTCTTTGTTGAATGTTATTTAATGCATATTTAAACCTGTTATCCTCTTAGAGGACCTGCTATCAAACAAAGCTATATGCATACCCTGTCATTCTTTTCACTAGTAAGTTCTTGGATGTAAGAGGTCAGCATCACAGAAATCCCAATCCAGAGT